CTTTCAAACAGCTTTAAACTCAACATCCATCTTGGTTACATAAACTGTTAATTGCAGCCTGTCATGCAACTGTCATAAAACTAAACAATGAAATCATATAATCTGACCTAAAATTGCGATTACAAGTATTAATAATAATTTGAGAATTCTCAAAAGCAAGACAACTTTCATAAACAAATTCTAATTTGTGCACTATCACAGCTATGTAGCCTTATTAAGAACCAAAATATCAAAATTGTTCATCAAAATGTATGAGACTTTTGTATACTTCTAACCCTCGGATGATATTTCCCCTTTTAGATAAAACGGAAGAAGTTACATGACTTTAGCATTTGACGTTATCTCCTTACAAGATATATTTGAAATTAAAATGACTACACTTTTTCGCCAGCATTCAGTTCCCGTATTAGATTTTATTATGAGAAATGATAGGAATATACCACTCTAAATGTCAGAGTGTGAGACTATGACGTAAACTCACCCTATTCCCAGATTAAATTTTATTAAGTCATCACACTACGTACACAAAGTCTCCCACAGAAACAAGAAATTCACTTCATGATTCAAACGCTTCCTGCCCCGCCTGGTCAAAGTCAATCAGATTTCAACAGCCTGGTGTAAAGGCAGTTAAACTGATTGTGATATGTCTTCACTTTTTTCACTTTTCATGAGCTCCCTTTTCAATAACTGGGTATTGATCGGGATCTATTTTGAGGCAGCATTCCTGTACATTGTGCTTCATAAGCCTTGGTAGGAGAGTGTCTGACTGTCAAAGGGCATGAGAGAATGAAGGCCAATTTATATTCAACGTTTATAGGACATTCTGCCAGGCATTATGGGCACACAGACATTATTAGAGCCACTCTTCCTCTCACAGTAAACACAAATTCCAAGAATCCTGTCAAGACCCACAGATCTCTGCCATGTCAAATTGGGGAGCAAATAAATGAAACTAGATTCATGCAATGGTTTGATTACAATGAACAAGTGCCGATATGGCAATAGACAGCCTTCAACTCGTGTCATCGGCATCTCAACATGGCGCTAGTGGTCCGCATTGATCACGTCAGATTTGTGTAAGTTGCCACTCTTGTCACTTATTCTGCGTGTGATGTTGAGAAAGATGACTTCACCAAGTTAAAATCCCTCTCTGTGAAAAATCCCCTTGTTTGAATAATACTCTCTATTAAAGGTGAGATGACTCAACTGCATCAATCGATTGAACTTCTGGGAAATACCTAATCTTGTTTCTTGCCATTTTACACCTAAATTGTCCCATGCTTACACATTTTTCAAGTAATTGATATCCACTTTTCAAGAGTAAAAAGAGCTCCCTGAAGAAGTCCCATTCAATTTAACAAGTCATCCATAATGCCTCCTAACACTGTCACACAAGAAAACCATTTTTCAAAAGAAACAACTGAACTCAACACCAGCACTTTTGTTGATGGTGTTCTGTGCTTTGAAGAACTTCTTTCTTCAGCCCTTTCAGATTATTTAGCACTGGGCATGTGAAATAATGTAGTTTATCTTCGGTGTAACAAGAAACGAGTCTTGCATTGATCTCGTGTGCAACTCTGAACCAAACAACAGATAACGGACATAACGAGATTGAGGAAGAAACCGAGAGTCAACACTTTTCACCAGAAGCCCTGGCAGGATACATGGTCAGAACTGGTTTCCAACAACCTATGCTGGTCATGAGGTGAGGTGAGGTGAAATTGGGTTTTACGTCGTGCTTGAGAATATTTCGCTCATATGACGATGTGCATGCGTGTGTATGTGTATGTGCGGCTGCTTGTACTAGCCCAGACTTAAGCTGGTTTTATAGTGCTAGCCCACTGAGATACCATGCCGCAGTGAAGCATGAATACCCCACTCAGACACATTATACTGACTCCGAGCCAACCAGTCCTTGTTGTACCCATTAATGCCGAGAGCCAGGTAGGGACCAACAAGTACCCTATTTTAACGTCTTTTGGTATGACGCGGTCGGGGATCGAACCCGCGACCTTCCGCTCTCCGGGCGGACATTCTAACCACTACACCATGGAGGCGGTCATGCTGGTCATGAGAGGCACCCATATGATCAGGTGGCCAAGCTGCTTGGTTCCTGAGTATACAGATAAAAGTAAATCAGCTGGAGATGCATGTTTTAACACAGGTGACACAAGTCCTACCTGCTGGAGATGCATGTTTTATGACAGGTGACACAAGTCCTACCTGCTGGAGATGCATGTTTTATGACAGGTGACACAAGTCCTACCTGCTGGAGATGCATGTTTTATGACAGGTGACACAAGTCCTACCTGCTGGAGATGCATGTTTTAACACAGGTGACACAAGTCCTACCTGCTGGAGATGCATGTTTTAACACAGGTGACACAAGTCCTACCTGCTGGAGATGCATGTTTTAACACAGGTGACACAAGTCCTACCTGCTGGAGATGCATGTTTTAACACAGGTGACACAAGTCCTACCTGCTGGAGATGCATGTTTTAACACAGGTGACACAAGTCCCTACCTGCTGGAGATGCATGTTTTAACACAGGTGACACAAGTCCTACCTGCTGGAGATGCATGTTTTAACACAGGTGACACAAGTCCTACCTGCTGGAGATGCATGTTTTAACACAGGTGACACAAGTCCTACCTGCTGGAGATGCATGTTTTAACACAGGTGACACAAGTCCTACCTGCTGGAGATGCATGTTTTAACACAGGTGACACAAGTCCTACCTGCTGGAGATGCATGTTTTAACACAGGTGACACAAGTCCTACCTGCTGGAGATGCATGTTTTAACACAGGTGACACAAGTCCTACCTGCTGGAGATGCATGTTTTAACACAGGTGACACAAGTCCACAACCTGCTGGAGATGCATGTTTTAACACAGGTGACACAAGTCCTACCTGCTGGAGATGCATGTTTTAACACAGGTGACACAAGTCCTACCTGCTGGAGATGCATGTTTTAACACAGGTGACACAAGTCCTACCTGCTGGAGATGCATGTTTTAACACAGGTGATTACAAGTCCCAAGTCCTACCTGCTGAGATGCATGTTTTATGTTTTAACACAGGTGACACAAGTCCTACCTGCTGGAGATGCATGTTTTAACACAGGTGACACAAGTCCTACCTGCTGGAGATGCATGTTTTAACACAGGTGACACAAGTCCTACCTGCTGGAGATGCATGTTTTAACACAGGTGACACAAGTCCTACCTGCTGGAGATGCATGTTACCTGCTGGAGATGCATGTTTTAACACAGGTGACACAAGTCCTACCTGCTGGAGATGCATGTTTTAACACAGGTGACACAAGTCCTACCTGCTGGAGATGCATGTTTTAACACAGGTGACACAAGTCCTACCTGCTGGAGATGCATGTTTTAACACAGGTGACACAAGTCCTACCTGCTGGAGATGCATGTTTTAACACAGGTGACACAAGTCCTACCTGCTGGAGATGCATGTTTTAACACAGGTGACACAAGTCCTACCTGCTGGAGATGCATGTTTTAACACAGGTGACACAAGTCCTACCTGCTGGAGATGCATGTTTTAACACAGGTGACACAAGTCCTACCTGCTGGAGATGCATGTTTTAACACAGGTGACACAAGTCCTACCTGCTGGAGATGCATGTTTTAACACAGGTGACACAAGTCCTACCTGCTGGAGATGCATGTTTTAACACAGGTGACACAAGTCCTACCTGCTGGAGATGCATGTTTTAACACAGGTGACAGGTGACACAAGTCCTACCTGCTGGAGATGCATGTTTTAACACAGGTGACACAAGTCCTACCTGCTGGAGATGCATGTTTTAACACAGGTGACACAAGTCCTACCTGCTGGAGATGCATGTTTTAACACAGGTGACACAAGTCCTACCTGCTGGAGATGCATGTTTTAACACAGGTGACACAAGTCCTACCTGCTGGAGATGCATGTTTTAACACAGGTGACACAAGTCCTACCTGCTGGAGATGCATGTTTTAACACAGGTGACACAAGTCCTACCTGCTGGAGATGCATGTTTTTAACACAGGTGACACAAGTCCTACCTGCTGGAGATGCATGTTTTAACACAGGTGACACAAGTCCTACCTGCTGGAGATGCATGTTTTAACACAGGTGACACAAGTCCTACCTGCTGGAGATGCATGTTTTAACACAGGTGACACAAGTCCAGGTTTTAACACAGGTGACACAAGTCCCACCTGCTGGAGATGCATGTTTTAACACAGGTGACACAAGTCCTACCTGCTGGAGATGCATGTTTTAACACAGGTGACACAAGTCCTACCTGCTGGAGATGCATGTTTTAACACAGGTGACACAAGTCCTACCTGCTGGAGATGCATGTTTTAACACAGGTGACACAAGTCCCACCTGCTGGAGATGCATGTTTTTAACACAGGTGACACAAGTCCCACCTGCTGGAGATGCATGTTTTAACACAGGTGACACAAGTCCCACCTGCTGGAGATGCATGTTTTAACACAGGTGACACAAGTCAAGTACCTGCTGGAGATGCATGTTTTCACACAGGTGACACAAGTCCCACCTGCTGGAGATACATGTTTTATGACAGGTGACACAAGTCCCACCTGCTGGAGATGCATGTTTTAACACAGGTGACACAAGTCCTACCTGCTGGAGATGCATGTTTTAACACAGGTGACACAAGTCCTACCTGCTGGAGATGCATGTTTTAACACAGGTGACACAAGTCCTACCTGCTGGAGATGCATGTTTAACATGACAGGTGACACAAGTCCTACCTGCTGGAGATGCATGTTTTAACACAGGTGACACAAGTCCTACCTGCTGGAGATGCATGTTTTAACACAGGTGACACAAGTCCTACCTGCTGGAGATGCATGTTTTAACACAGGTGACACAAGTCCTACCTGCTGGAGATGCATGTTTTAACACAGGTGACACAAGTCCTACCTGCTGGAGATGCATGTTTTAACACAAGTCCTACCTGCTGGAGATGCATGTTTTTGGTGAGGGTCTCTTCCAACATACGCTGAAGCTTCTTGTTCATATCTTTAAGTTCCTGGTCATCTCCCTTCTTAATGACCTCCAGGATCTTGTTGAGGGACAACTTATCGTCATGGTTGTGGGAATGGGATGGTCGACGATCTGAAATATACATTCAAAATTAAATTCCAAGAATAGGAATGTTCCTAGTAGCTCAACTAACTCAGACTTTATTCACTGAATGGGAGTCTAATGTAAAGAAAGGGATTTAGCTTGACCCATGCAGGAAAACCAAGGTCTATGGATAGTCAACTTCTTTATTGCAATGAGTGCAACGTTTTGGTGTAGGTACTAACACCATTATCAAGCAAGTGATACAAAGAGTTGTAACATGGAGAATATATACATAGCTGCATAGTGCTTGATAACGGTGTTAGTACCTACAATGAAACATCACAATCATTGCAATAAAGAAGTTGACTATCCATAGACCTTGGTTTTCCTTCATCTATACAACTTCTAAAATGCCTCTCAAAGAAGTTGACCCATACAACTGCCAAAATTGGAATGAGAAAGGTTTCAAGCCCATGTTACAGTTATAAGGATACTTTGGCTTTGTCGATTCACCTTGACTTTCACTGATAACACTACAAACAAAGAGGCAGAAGCTTTAATACTTACTGCAATATTACATGAAATTATTGAAGTACCTCTGAACTTTAAAAAATAAGAACTAATAGTAAATAAGTGCAATTCTTTGGACTCAGACAAATAATGAAAACTTGAGACAGTCCATTTGTTGGTTCATCCATCTTGGGGTTCAGATACACCGTTGAAATTTCAAGCCAAAGTTTATTAAAGATATGGCCCTTAATCATCATAATTTGAGTTCATGTTTTCAATTTCATTCCTAATTCTGATACCATGAAGAAAACTTTTGTCATCAGGAAACCAAAGATGTAACAGTCCCAGAAATGTCTTCGAAATATACAACTTAATCAAACAGCATGGACACCATGCAACAGACAGGCCAGACATCAAACAGCATGGACACCATGCTATAGACAGGCCAGACATCAAACAGCATGGACACCATGCTACAGACAGGCCAGACATCAAACAGCATGGACACCATGCAACAGACAGGCCAGACATCAAACAGCATGGACACCATGCTACAGACAGGCCAGACATCAAACAGCATGGACACCATGCTATAGACAGGCCAGACATCAAACAGCATGGACACCATGCAACAGACAGGCCAGACATCAAACAGCATGGACACCATGCTACAGACAGGCCAGACATCAAACAGCATGGACACCATGCTATAGACAGGCCAGACATCAAACAGCATGGACACCATGCTACAGACAGGCCAGACATCAAACAGCATGGACACCATGCAACAGACAGGCCAGACATCAAACAGCATGGACACCATGCAACAGACAGGCCAGACATCAAACAGCATGGACACCATGCAAACAGACAGGCCAGCATCAAACAGCATGGACACCATGCCATAGACAGGCCAGACATCAAACAGCATGGACACCATGATACAGACAGGCCAGGACATCAAACAGCATGGACACCATGATACAGACAGGTCAGACATCAAACAGCATGGACACCATGATACAGACAGGCCAGACATCAAACAGCATGGACACCATGCTACAGGCAGGCCAATCATCAAACAGCATGGACACCATGCTACAGACAGGCCAGACATCAAACAGCATGGACACCATGATACAGACAGGCCAGACATCAAACAGCATGGACACCATGCTACAGACAGGCCAGACATCAAACAGCATGGACACCATGCTACAGACAGGCCAGACATTAAACAGCATGGACACCATGCTACAGACAGGCCAGACATCAAACAGCATGGACACCATGCTACAGACAGGCCAGACATCAAACAGCATGGACACCATGCTACAGACAGGCCAGACATCAAACAGCATGGACACCATGATACAGACATGCCAGACATCAAACAGCATGGACACCATGATACAGACATGCCAGACATCAAACAGCATGGACACCATGATACAGACAGGCCAGACATCAAACAGCATGGACACCATGCTACAGACAGGCCAGACATCAAACAGCATGGACACCATGCAACAGACAGGCCAGACATCAAACAGCATGGACACCATGATACAGACAGGCCAGACATCAAACAGCATGGACACCATGCTACAGACAGGCCAGACATCAAACAGCATGGACACCATGCAACAGACAGGCCAGACATCAAACAGCATGGACACCATGCTACAGACAGGCCAGACATCAAACAGCATGGACACCATGATACAGACATGCCAGACATCAAACAGCATGGACACCATGATACAGACAGGCCAGACATCAAACAGCATGGACACCATGATACAGACAGGCCAGACATCAAACAGCATGGACACCATGCTACAGACAGGCCAGACATCAAACAGCATGGACACCATGATACAGACATGCCAGACATCAAACAGCATGGACACCATGATACAGACAGGCCAGACATCAAACAGCATGGACACCATGCTACAGGCAGGCCAGACATCAAACAGCATGGACACCATGATAAAGACAGGCCAATTCAAACAAAGTTTTTGTAAACTTTTTAAATCGCTAAAATATAGTAATGTTGAATGTGATGCCATGAATACTTTATTAACAAAACTGAAGAGAAACAGTAGCACGACATGTTGACAAAAATCCTATTCGGTCGAACGAGGGACCACATTGTGCAGAATTGCAAGCCTGACACTGAGAAGTATGGACATGGGTTTGAAGCTTACTACAATATGGGGTTGATGCGCTACATCCCGATATCAAATTTTCAAGATTAGACTCATAGTGACGAAAAACATTATGTACCAAAGCCTATTCGTCTCCCTTCGCCTCCATCTTTGATGATTTGTATGCCGTTTCGGGATGCTATGACTGCCGTGTTGGGATGCTATGAATGCCATTTTGTACGCTCAGCGACCGTTCTCGCGCGCTCTTGTAGCTGATATGAGAGTTTTGTTTCCATTTCAAATGATTAGTCTTCCATAACAGATGTATTGTTTCGGTTTTGGAGGATATTGTTGCAGTTTGGGAAGTTTATTTTCCTATTTTGGTGATTTTTGTTCTGTTTTGGTGTATATCAGTGTCTTTCAGTGTTGTCACAACCCCTAGTGTACAGTACACAACCCTGTGCACTTAAAAGAACCCACGAATCCGTTGGTATATGACCAGATGGTGGCCACATGAATACGTGCAAACACCTAGTTGCGGGTACAGCAACGTGCAGTGAACTTGGACAAAGTACTGTGACTATGTGTCCCAGTCCACACAGCTGTGAATGGGTACCTTGTTAGGATGAGAAAGCCACATTAACTTGGTGCGCCTAGTGGCTGCAAGAGTTGTATACTCCCCAGGGAGTTGAGATTGATAATACGATGTGCCGTTGAGATTGACATCCAATGATCGAGGCGAAAATACCAGAGCCTTGAGCATGCACTTGTTGCCTGGATATGTGCGCTATATAAATATCCTATAATAATAATAATAATATGAGTTCAGTTTGTTTGTTTGTATGGTAGGCCATATAATAATATGAGTTTGATTTGTTTACCGTTTGTATGGTAGGCCTGCAATTGTTCAAACTGGTTTCAGAGAGCTAGACCACTGAAATCCGCCCGTTTGGCATGGATACCCTACACCGACACAAGCCAATCAGCCCTCGTTTCACCCAGCCAATGCCTAGCACAAGGCAGGGTAACAACAAGTGCCATCTTTAACATCTTTCTTTATGAGGTGACCAAGGTTTGAACCACAGAAATACACCGAAACATTTCATCCAAAGGTGAGCCATAATTACAATTCAGAACATAAACAATTATAGCTGAATTCCGTTGTCAACATACTTCTATTGATTACTTTGTTCAATGACATTAACAAAATGTCATCACAAGCATCAAGCATTTGTTACAATTATAGTCCAGTCAAAAATGCAAATAGAATGGAAGACATCAAACTGAATTAATCTGCGTCCTCTCCACCTAATGAAGTCATCCATAGCTATCCCCTACAGCACTACACCAGAAAATGGCCATGAGAATCACACAAAATTAGACGTTTCATCACAATCAAACTCTAATATAGCTCAAGAATATTCTGGGTACACACAGGTCGGTCTTAATCAATTGCAAATGCTCTTCAGACTGTATTAGTTCCTGAAAATAACTCCAAATCCTAAACCACTAAAACTGAAAAATGATTTTCTGATAAATCTTAAAAGAAAATGTTCTCGTCAACCCTTTAGAAGTACATGTTCTGAAAAGGAAAACTACAAACAGGTATTAACGACCTGCAATTTGTCCTAAGACATAAAGTTTGTTGAGTAAGGCCTATCTCCAGAAATAAGACTTGAAAGAAAAAATGGAATGGAAGGTAATTAAATATTAGACAATGACCCATAAATAAGTAATGTTAAGTATGTCAATGCTGAGATGATTAGACTGAAAGTATGCATCACTGAAGATTTTCAGACAGAATTTGTGTTATAGAATTCAGGTTCAAACATCAAAAGCACTTTTAAGCTCTCTGTATGTTCTTTTAGGTCTGCAGACAGATGTTGAGTAAAGTACAGGTTTTAATGTTACTGAAGGCAGTCAGTGGTCAAAACAGGAACCTGCCCATAGACCTGTGGCAGGACGATTTGGTGTCAGACCCGATGTTTCAAATTATTTAGGGTCCTTATTAACTGCACTAAATTTAAGCGTCAAACAATGGTAATGCTATGTTCACACTATCATGATTCGCGCCACGACTGAAATCGTGGTCTTAATTATAGACTAATCATGGTGATCCTATCAGATCTTATCAGATCTTGAGGTCAGTCGTGGCAATCGTGTTGATCACAGAAATATTTTGGACAGTTCAAATATTTTCTACGATCAACACGATTAATTGTCAATCGTAATCATTGAATCAGATCGTACTGAATCGTAACAAAGCGCAACATATGGCGTTTAATTGTGCTTCCAAATTGTGGTGATCGGAACCAATCATGGTTGTGGTTGTAGTGTTCATTCTGTTAAAGTTCAAGAAACAGTGAAGTCCATGGTCAGTCGGGC